CGGATGTTCTTTATTTATTTTTATTAAATATTAAAAAATAAATATTCTGCATAAATTCTTTTAGATTCTAGAAGATTTTTTTTTCTTGCAATTTAAATTAGCAATTATTTTTTCACACCAAATATCAATTTCCCCCTCTTCAATATGTACTTGAAATCTTATAATATACCAAAAATCATTCAATTTGATGAATGGCAGTTCATGAGATTCCCTTATGTTGTATAAACTAGAAAACAAACGTTTAAAAGAAAATCTAGTACACTTGTTTATCTTATCCCATAATCTTTTTTTATGAGTTAGCAATTTAGTAAGGCATCAAGTTTTAAATTAGGTATCATGTTCCTGCTTCTCTTTATTTCACTAAATCTTGTGAAATTAAATTAAGAGCAGTGATATGATCTGATTATGAATTTGCTATAGTATTAGCAATCGTAATCCATAAAAGCAATTGTTCATTTGCCCCATGAAAGCATTCTTAGATTTTTTTCTTTCTTTTAATTTTTCCTGTTATTAAAAATGATTGCATTCATTACTAAATAAACACAAGATCCGGATACAATGTATTCTTTTGTGCAGCTTTTCTCTAACATTTTTCACTTTCTATGCCTTATGTCCGGGTCATTATTCGTCCCCCCCCCCTCTTTCTTTTTTGTCTTTGTTGAATCACCTGCACGTGTACAATTTGCATTTTCCTTTCAGAACTATCTAATATCAGTCCCTGCTTTAATTTTTTTTATTATTTTTCGGATGGAACTTTATATGTTTTTGATAAAGAGAGAGAATATTTCAATTTCACTATCCTACAGATAAATGTAATTCAGTTCTTGTAATATCTGTTTTGTGTGAACTTTTTTGGATGTAATTTTGATTCTGATTCATAAAGATTACATGCATTTACATGCCGAGAAGCAGTGGCACAAAAGTGAGCTATTTCAAGAGTCTCTTTACAAGGTATTTGCTTACCTGGAAAGTCATGAATTTCGATATTGAACAAAATTTGTCATGAAATTTCATGATTTTAACTACTTAAAAAAAAATCGTGGATTTAGGTCGCCGAAAAATCTAATTTTTAAAATGGAATTTACTTTCCTCCCCCCAATTTCATGGTGTTCCGAATATCTGAATTTGTAACAAAATCCCCACTCACAGTCATATTTTATTAAAATATAAAATGTAAAATTTCTTTAAAAATTATGTTCTTTTAAAAAATTAAATAAAAAACATCATTTCTTGAGTGAATTTTTCCTTTAAACTTCTGTGATTTCAGAATTTTTGTTATTATCAATTTATTTTTATTTTATCAATTTAAAATTCTAGCTGTAGCAAGCCTGTCATTGGCAAATTTTTTTAATTCCGAAATGAGAACTGAAAAATCAGGAGTATTTCTTTCCTTTCCGATGAACAAGAAAAGTATCTTCATAATATAATTCTGCAGAAGAAAAAAATTATTTGCTTTTGTATTTTTTTTTCTAGTTATTTTATTGCTTCAACTCTTTCTTAACTCTGTTTTTTAAATTTAAAATCTATAAATGTGAAGATACAGAGTATAACAATTGTGGTTATATCTATCATTTCAATTCATGTTATTATAATGCTTTTTTAAAATTATTGTTTATTTTTTGTCGGAGAAAATAGTAACTTCCTTAAGTCATGAAAAATTCTTGGAATTAGTCGTGGAAAGTCATGAATTTGAAAATCTAAAATGTAACAGATACCCTGTCTTTACCACAGAACTGGAGATGAATTCGGACACATTTTCTGAGCCCAAAAAATTTTAATCTGAGCATGAGATAAACTTCAATATTGCAGTTAATAAACTTTAAATTTTTTATGCGCAATAAAAAAAATGTATCTTTTATGCTTAATGTTAAATTATTGTTTGAAAGTGAGCTCTGTTAGAAATAATTTACCTTCAAGGCAGAAAAACACATCGGTATTCCTGCTGTATTTCATAACTATAAATTATTAAATGTAATATTTTTCAATTATTTTGACCGAAATTAATACAAAATAACGAAAAAAGTGTTTAAAAAAATGTTTAATAAAACTTCTGTATCAAAGGGTTAAACAGGATAATACATAAAAATAATTGAAATTACCAACTATGCCTGAAACTACGTGAACCAGTAATGTTCAGTTCGGCAGCAAATCGTTTCAGAAATTGAAATCAAACATTATTTCTCCTGTCGGAAATTTAAATGCTTTTATTAGCTACTCTTATATGGTAGTAATGCAATACGATTTGAAATTCCTCATCGATGTACATAATGGTTTAGAATTTTCAAATCCTTTGCGTAAATATTAATTTTCAAAGGGATAAATGGTGATTTTGGAATTGTTTCATTCATTTTAAGCTGTGGCAGCTTATCGAGGGGTTATCGGTTTATTGTTATCAGTTCTTCAAATACCAACTATGTTTAGTATTTTTGGTTTGGCTGATATAAATACTTTATCATTTCCATTTAAAGATATCACATACATCCTTTCGCTTCTAGAAATCGGGTATTTGTTTACTACCGGATATCAAAATATACAGGGTTGAAGGGAAATAGTGTTTCGTATCGTTCGATATTCGCTGGAATTTTCGATTTTCCATTTAATTGTAGTTATGTTTATAAAGATTCAGTCAATGAAGTTTTGTTTTATAATATAAAACATTAATTTTGATAAGTTTCACAAAATATTTAGAAGATCGAAAAAATTAATAAATATTTTTTATATATTTTAAACTATCGCACTATTTATAAACTATTACACTATTTTTTATATAAAATAAAAATAATAACAGAAAACTCTATATTAACCAGAATTTATAATTTGGTTTTTTATTACGTCTTTTTTTATTTTAAGATATCAAATTTATGTTTATCCCAATTTTTTTTTTTTTTAAATTGGTGAAAAGTAAAACTAAAATAAAATTTATAGCTAAGATAGTAATGACGTGTAAATAAAATGTATCGGCAATGATATAGTGACGTGTTAGCAGGGGTCTGTCCAGACATTTTGTGAAAGATCCGTTTTTGTAAAATGGTGAAAAAAATGACTCGTAATTTGTGAAGATAAAATAAACGTTCAGTCACATTCTTTCAACCAGGGTCCGCTTTTGCGAATTTATGCAAATAGGGTCCGTTATTGCAAAAAAAAACTTTTTCAAGGAGTTTTTAAATTGTAAAGACATACATGATAATGCTCAACACTGTAAAATTGTAATTAAAAAAATTAAATTTTAAAAAATAAACAACAATTGCTGCTTCTAAATTAGAGATGCAACATACAAATATTTGGTATTTAGCCTATACTGCTGAACGCAGAATATTAATTTCGGACGAATAATGGAAGAATCGTCTGCCGAAGACAAAACTTAATTCGTTTACATCCATCTTTCTTGTTTTCTGCCCTGGAAAGGGTTTATTCGATTAACAAAATAATAATGAAGATAAACAAATTTGTGAAGGGTCCGATTAAAAGAAAAATCATTTTGTGAAGGGTCCGTTTTTAAGTTAAAATATTTTGTGAAGGGTCCGTTTTTAAGTTTAAATATTTTGTGAAGGGTCCGTTTTTATGAAAATATGTTTTGTGAAGGGTCCGTTAACGGACCCAAATTTCTTCTAAACAGACCCCTGGTTATAAAAATAATCTTATATAAGTTGATTTGGATCCAAAAATCATTATGTATAACTTGAAAATTGAATATATTTTTTCACCCGTGTGTTTGAAGAAAAAGTAGTCATACTAACAATTTTATTATATTTTATTCTAATATTTTTTCTTTTTGTGGATAATTTAATAATATATTTATGTTATTAAATTATATAATTATGTTTTAATTTACTTTACATTTAATTTACACGCTATATAATTATGGTGACAAGTGAACTGAGTTACAGTACTGAAAAAATACGGCTTTTTTAAAATTTGATTTCTCAGAAACTATTCTACCGATTTCGTTCAAATTTTGTACTTTAGAATCGAATATAATATTCTTTAAAATTAAGTAAAAATATGTATACTTTACTATTTAAAATTTTTTTAACTATTTATTTTAACTAATAATAAATTGTAATAAAAAATTATTTTTCCATTATTTTACATAAACGAATTATGAAATTGTGTAATTTTTTTTATTTGCTTAAAAAGTTCACGAAATATAATGAAATGTGCCAAAACTAAAAATAACATTAATAAAAGTTCCAAACGTTCGACCCCCTCCTGACCAAACTATTGGGACCATAATTTTCCAGAATATGACTACCCCGCATATTTCGAGGGTCACAAATCCAAATCTGTGGAAGAAATGGTATGTTTATTCTAAGAAACTTCATTGTGCTTGATTTCGAAACGTTAAATATCGTCTGCACTAATTAATTGGCATATATAGAAGACGAAGCCCTTGAACCATTAGGATTGGGTCTTAGTACATGAAAATCCGTACATTTGAACAAAAGTTATTGTAGGTGTTCCGTTTACTTCTCTGTACTGTACAACATTTTTCCAATGGAGTGTGAAAATATTAAAAAAAAAACTAAGGAAAAATTTATTGCATATTTCTAATAACCTATAGCAACAAAGATACACATAATATTTATTTGTTGTACTTTGTATTTACATTAAAAATTTACTTTGAGTAACGAAGCAGGGAATAGAACTGGCATTTTATACTTTCAAATTAAGCTGTTTCTCGTAGTATTTAATTAATTATTGCTTTTACAATGTATAACCAGAAAGATGAAATATTCATTTTTTTTAAAAATCGTTATCGAACAAATAAATCGAGTAAATGCAAGAAAAGCAAATATTTCACTTTAACACCAAAATAATATTTTTGAATGAAATATTTTAGCCAAATTATGAAAATAGAAATAATTATTTAAAAACACCTATATTTTCTCATAATTAATAATTTAATATTATTATATTTTGTTTTTGTGAAAAATTTTAAAATTTATATGAGTGTTTTTAATATGAGTTGTTCAATTATTATTTTTTATTTTTAATCTTAGGTATTTGCCATACGTGTGGTGAAAAAGTGACTGGTGCTGGTCAAGCTTGTCAAGCAATGGGGAATTTATATCATACTAATTGTTTCATTTGTTGTTCTTGTGGTTAGTATTTCTTCATCTTAGTATATCATTTTGTTGTTTCTTTTGTCTTTGCTATATTTTTGAATTTTCTATTATTTTTGTTATTAAAAACAGAGAAATGCATATAATCTTTTTTTTTATTTATTATTCGCAGTCATGGTGCGTAGCGTTTTTGAAAAGTGCTTATACATGCTTATTTTCGTTTTTTAAAAGCCCTTAAAGGTGTTTTTTTCATGGGGTGTTTTTAAAAAATGCTTAATTTTTCACTTTTTGAAAATGAATTTTTTTTTTTTTTTTTTTTGCTTTTTCATGTCGATTTTCACTGCATTATATAATTATCACTGCGTACTATGCAAAAACATGGTTTTCACACTGTTCTATTCAATGCTTTCACAATTCATTCAACCACAAGTCCACAATTCATTTCGGCATGCCGTCGGTCCGTAACGTATGATAGCACCGATTATGTTACATGTTTGATGAAATACTTGGGAGTGACTACTAATCTGGGTTCCGTGAGATTATCGCACTCTCATGTGCAACTCTGCTAAAGGTTGCAAGATATTCTCAATTTCAGGCTTCATTTTCCACCCTCTAAAATCGAACCAAAAACACTCTATATCTTTTTATGTTAGCTAATATAACCAAGAAAAGAGTTCTTTGTTAGAAACTAGTTATTTTATCATAATCATGTAAAGTCTGAGAATTATTTTGCATTTTGTTAATGTATATAGTGCTTAAAAAGTACTTGAAAGTAAAGGTGAAGGTCCTTATTTTTTGATGAGAGATTTGGCTACGCACCCTGACAGTTAATGAAGCCTTACCAGGGGTCTGTTTAGAACGGACCCTTCACAAAATATCCTTTCATAAAAATGGACCCTTTACAAAATAATGTATCTTTTAATCGAACCCTTCACAAATTTGTTTATCATCATTATTGTTTTGTTAATCGAATAAACTTTTCCCAGGAAGTGGGGGGAGAAAGACAGATGTAAACGAAATAAATTTTTTCTTCCTTTATTCGTCCGAAATGAATATTTTGTGTTCCGCAGTATAGGCTAAATACCAAATATTTATATGTTGCATCGCTAATTTAGTAGCTGCAATTGCTGTTTATTTTTTAAAAGTTAATTTTTTTAATTATAATTCTACTGTGTTGAGCGTAATCTTGTATGTCTTAACAATTTAAAAACTCCTTGAAAAAGTTTTTTTTGCAATAACGGACCCTATTTGCACAAATTCATAAAAGCCGGACCCTGGTTGAAAGAATGTGACTTAAAGTTTATTTTATATTCACAAATTACAAGTAATTTTTTCTCAATTTTACAAAAACGGACCTTTCACGGACCCCTGCTTACAATTTATGTTATTCAATTTTAAGTGCTTATGTTTGTAAATTTTTCCATTGTAGGGCGAGCACTGAGAGGGAAAGCTTTCTACAATGTCCATGGAAAAGTTTATTGTGAAGAAGATTACCTAGTAAGAAAAGCTTTTTTATTGCTAAATAAAGTTTTATTATGGATTACTGCAGTTATTTAAACATCTGACTTTTTGCTTGATAATATTTTTTACTGTCTCAATGAAATGTGGGTCTATTAATTTTGTTTAGGTTCTTAATTTCTCTAAATAAGCTATTACATATTACTGGATTGGTACCGGAATTTCTTTTAAGAGTGAGTGAGTCTAAAGTCTAATTCAAACTTATTATACTTTATTGAATTTACTAGTAAACTTAGACTGGAAATTTAAATTTAAAATTAGTAGCCTGTGGCCGGTAGTCTCTAATGAATTGGTGGCCAGTTTTTCCTCACACCTTCATGTGTTTTTTTCCTGTAAAAATAAATAACCCCAAACTTCCCCAAAATAAACTTCCCCAAACATGTAATACTTAGTTAAACAAGTGTTATTGTACCTTTTAAACACAATTCTTTTTCGTTAAAAAGGTTTAAATAGGTATTATTCTTTATATCAAATAGTTTTTTCTTGCATCTATATGATTATGAAAAGTATTTACTTGAAAATGGCTGAAATGTAACTATTGTGTTTTTACTATTCAGGTCTGGTCTTTATGGATTGAAGGTACATTTTATCAAACAACCCCAACTTTTTCTTCTTTTATTTTTTGTTATTTGATTTATCTAATTGTAAATTAATCTTAAAATTTTCATTCTTTTATCTCTTAACCTCAAATTTTTTTTTAGGATTGTTAAATAATAAAAAAGTTCTACATTCTTTCTTCTTTAAAAAAAATAAAAATAGCTACCCTTAAAACCAAGCTGGGCAGCTGCAATATCAATTGAAATTGAATTAGTTCAGATTTGAGGTGCAGATGCATCATTGCTAAATTAATAATTTAGTTTTAATTAAGATTATTGAAATCATTGTTATTACTATAATATTAAAATTAATTTGCATAATTGTTACATAAAGGTATTTTGGAAATGGCAAGTAATTTATTTTATTCTTCACTGCCTAGTCTTCAAATTTTTTAATTTGTCTCAATTTTATTATTAATAATAATGTGTATTCTATAGCTTTTTCTTTCATTTTTTTTGTAATAGCAGTTAATTTTTTGTTATAGTATTCTGGGTTTCAACAAACAGCAGAGAAATGTGGTGTTTGTGGTCATCTGATTATGGACATGGTATGTTTTTAAACAATATTCTATTATGTTTTATTTTTCAGAAATTTTAGACTGTTTGAATAAAATTATTTTGATTTCTTGCTACTAAAATTAAATTTTAAAATTTTCTGATTTGATTTCTATTTTTTTAAAAAATTTTTAATTTTCTTTTAAAGTAGAAATCTTTTTACTTACAAAAAATGTTAACCAGTATCCTATTTACCTTTTCATTGCATTTCTTGTCTTATTCTTACTTTTTGCAACTTTTTTTAATGATAAATGGGTATAAATGAAATATTTCTCTTAACAAGTTCTTTATTTATCACTTTTATTGACCATATTCTTTTGTTTATTACCTTCAAGCATAAACATTTCAAGTTTTTCTTTTAATTTTGTGTTTAGGGGGAAGTATATTGAAAATTATTTTTTCTGCAAAATGAAGGAAGATCATATGTAGTTTTGGAACTATGTTCTCAGAATATTACTTTCAAATTAATTACTTTATCTCCAAAGCGTTTCAATGTTTGTGTATAAATAATCTTAAATGTTTTTTCTTTTCTGATTCTCATTTAGGAAATTTCAAATCAATTGCCAGATGTTAATAATTTAATAATTCCAACTGAATCTAATAACTTGAATATTTTTATAACAATATTAAACATTGTTTGTTTCTATTTGATACCAGATACTGCAAGCTATGGGAAAATCTTATCATCCAGGATGCTTTAGATGTTGCATTTGTAATGAATGCCTGGATGGCGTACCTTTTACAATAGATATGAAGAATAAAATATACTGTGTTCACGATTACCACAAGTAAATTTTCATTTTTTGTTTCTTTTTTTTTTAAATTATTATTTTTTTTTTCTGTTTATTTATCGGTGCATTATTTAAAAATATTTCATAATATATTTGTTAATTCATCTGTTTTAGTTCAACTAACTGTAATTTATCTGTGTAAGCCTTGTATAGCGAGCATGCATACATAACTGTCAACTCTACTGGTTTTTCCAGTAGTCTAATGGATTTTGCCAGTTTCTTCTGGTGTATTGGTTTCATAAGAATTCTCCTTGTTTTTGTATATTTCAAAAAATTCCCTAAAATTTGAATAAGTTTCCTTAAAAAATCCCTAGTTGAAGTAGAATATTTGCACATATTATTATTAATGCTTGCTTGAATATTTAAATAAGTGTTACTAATGTATAATGCAGCAAGTTTCGTTTATAAAAATCAGTTTAAAACTTTTTTTTGGTTCTAAAATATTAAGTTTATTTTTATTCAGAACTGCTTTTTAAATTAATTGAATAATCTTTTAATATGATTACTATTCAAAATTATGAGTAAACATAATACATAACATTTCAAGTTCATTTAATGTTAATAATAACTGGAAAATTGCAGTTTTTCTATTTTGAAGACCATAAAATTTTCAACATGTAAAATTAGTACATTTTGCCACTATTATCATGAAATATACATATATTTTGTAAAATTTTCTGGAATTTTTTCTCTATATATATCGGCAGCTATGCAGGACCTTTAGCTGATATGCTGTTTCTCTTGCAAACTGAAATTATGTTTCATTTTATTTAATTATTTATTTTTACTACAATTTGGAACATTAAGACTCCATAATTTAGTCTAGAGAGCCATTCAAAAGTTTGAACCTATTGATGTTAATTATTTCACATAATATATTTTTTCTGTTTTATCTCCAGAAAATTTATTCTCTATATTTTATTCTGTTTTATCTCCAAAATCAATTTTTTCCACTCTCAATTAAGAAACTCATTTATTGAATGTAAATTCTAGATAGAAACTTTTATAATTATTTATTACTTTTTATGTTTAATTTTAAACTGTGTGGTATTAAATGAATAATAAATTTGAACGAAATAAAGTAAATAGTTTTGGAACAATAAAATTTCAGAAAAGTCTAATTTTGTCAGTAACAGAAGTTAGAACTTTTGGTATAACATCAGAGCAATTTTCCAAAGCATTTAATAGTACTTTTTTCTGTAGATAAGATAAAATTTTACAATAATAATATTTTCTTAAAAGATATTTACCTATATTTATCAGCATTAAAAAAAATTATAATATCAAGATTAATGTTGTATTTAGTACTTTTTATTTACTTTTATAATAGTGGAAAAAAATTTATGCATAGTTTTGAACTGTTTTATTAAATAAGTAATAAATTTGAACAAAATAAAGTAAATAGTTTCGGAACAATGAAATTTTAAAAAAGTTGTATTGACAAAGTTAGAACAAAGTAAGAACCTTAAAAAAAATTAGAACTTTTGGTATAACGTCAAATGAATTTTCCAAAACATTTAATAGTACTTTTTTCTGATGTAGGTAAGGTAAGTTCTTACAATAATAATTAAAAAATAATAACATCTTCCTACTTACATGTTTATCAGCATTAAAAAAAATTATAACATCAAGATTAATATTGTTCCTAAGGAAACTGGCTTTTTCAATTCTTTCTCTGTTGTAGTTATTACAAACTTTATTGATACAAATAGCAAAATTTCCAAAAAATAGTAATGTTCCTACAAAATATTATTGCAATTTTAGCATAAAAGTTTGTTATGCATTGTTCTCTTTTAGCAGTTTGCTACAAGAAACGCATTTCAATCAAGACATAGTTAAGGTATACTTATTTGTTGATAAAAAATTGCTATTATATTCTAAATATATTTAAAATGTGTATACTGCTGTATTCTGTAATTACTTTGAAAATTAACTCCAAAATTACTTTAAAAAAGCTTTTAAATATTTTAATTTCAGAATGTTTGCTCCTAAATGTGCTGCTTGTGGACAAGCCATTACTCCTGTTGAGGTACATCTTCTCTTTGCTTATTTTGATTATGTTTCTTTTTATATAAGTTTAAGTTCTTATCCTGTAATATTGACATTTAATCTTTATAGGGTACTGATGAAACTGTGCGAGTTGTATCTATGGATAGAGATTTTCATGTTGATTGCTACGTTTGTGAAGTATGTAACACACCATTACTTTCTCATTAATTAAATTCTTTAAATCTTTTTAAAAAAAGTAACAATACTACCTTCAATTAAAAAATAAAATTATAGTCATGATTTTTAAGCTTTGAGGTGATTATATTTTGATAATAATACGTACTACTGTAAAATAATACCGAATTAAATGTTAAAATTAAATTAAAACTGCACTAACCATGGTTTACTTAAATTCAAAATTGTCTTGGTTGTATTCATTGGAACCTGAATAATTCTATCTGAAATTTTGCATTGGTGATTAAATAAATTATTAAATGAACTATTAAAATTAATAATAATTATCAAAACTAAAAAATAATTTTTTTAAACTAATTAGAAAAATATTTTTTTCCTTTTTTTGATATATTTATTGCAAGAATTATTTTAAGTTACTTTTAAATTTTTAATGCAGTAACTTAAGGATTTTATTTCAATGTTAAAAAATGAATAATTGTTACTGTAAAAAAATTGTAAAGAATGTGTCAATTTTGAGCAGTCTGGTCACTCAATCTGTTAGGGCAGTTTTTGTGGGATCAATAGTTCGTTTATCAGTAAGCTCTTATATATTTTTTATTGATTTTTGAAAAAGAACCAAGTAAAAAATGTGAATGAAAATATTTTTCAGTGAATGAAGAAAAAATTATTGAGGCTACATTAATTTAAAATTAAGGAAACTTAAGTAAAAAAAAAAACTTTAATGACTTCAAATGATTTGATAATTGTTGCACAAAATAATCTTTGATAATTTAAAATTTTATTTTATTTATTAATTGTGTGGTGACTTGCATACTGGCAAAAAAAGAAATCTGATTCATTTGAAATGCTTTGCTCTTATAATTCTAATTTGCATAATAAAAAAATTTATTAATATATTCTGGAAAAATTAAAAATCATTTTTAAGAAGGTAACATTCGAAACATTTCACTATATACAAACTAAATATCTTTAAACTGAAGTGAAATTAATGAATTTATAAACTTTAACTGAAATTCTATTACATAGTTATGTATGAATTTAAAGTGATAGAAATTTTGCAAATTTATTTGACTATAATATTGGTATGTATTTTAGAAATTTGTTTTTTTTTTAATGCTGACAAAATTTTAGCAGTTATATTGAAATAAAATGCAGCATGTAAAATGAGATTGATGCATTATTGTTATTAACTGAAATCACTTACTTTTTAAACTTTCAGAAATAACTTGTGCTTTTAACGATTCTTGAGAGTTGTAAAAAATGCTCAATTATGTTTTTTCTCCTTCAGTCTAAAAACTTAGAATCATAGTAATTTTACTCTTGTTATTTAGTACAATTATTATTGCTACTAAAATATAAACTGTTGGTAACAGTGAGTAAATTATGAATTTTTTTAAAAAAAGGTATACCCAAGTTCATTCTAAAGTTTCATTTTGTGATAATGACTTGAATTTCTAAAAGTTACCTTGCATCATTAAGTTTGAGACTAAATATAGAAACTATAAAAATAACTGTATATATGATAACTTTAAACTATGACTGTTATAATTATTAAAAATTTAAACAAAAACAAAATGTTTATTATTGTGTTGTAAAGGAATAACTATGGATTTATTCTCTAAAAAGAGCAATTTAATGTCTGCAGTGTTTTTATATTAAAGCATACATTATTTTAAATATGTGTCATGTAATAGTATCCAAATTTCAGTTTGATGTTAGAACTATTCAACAATATAATGTTTTAACTATAATCTTTTGGTTTTGAAACTCAGTTTCTGCATTGCTGGAGCAGCCAAATCTCTACTGGAACTCTGTGCCTGATGGCAACACAAGTGCATTAATTTCCTGACTGCTACAGGCAGAACTTATCGCCCATAAAAATTTATATTTTATCAAAATTTTGACCCTCTCTTGACTGTCTAGAACACACAAGTCTTCACAGGAACTTTTCTAAATGACAAGTTTTAATTGTTATCAACCACTAAATAGAATTTATTGCCATATTATCACCAAAAATAATTTATTATCAATCCAAGTTTCAATCATTTTCTGAGTAGTTAAAAGTGTTCAAAACCAAAATTAATTTTATTGGAAAAATAGTTTTTAGCATTTTAGTTTTATTTTATTTTAAAAGATAATAATTTTAATAATATCAAGTGAAATATTAAAGATAATTTTCATTAAAAAAAAGGCACTATTATGCTGTTTGAAATAAAATCTATTAAACCTCGTGTTCATACTTGGCTTGAACACTTTGTTAGTGTTAAATTCACTCTGTTACATTTTTATAAGACAACATTTATTTTTAACCAAATGGTTGATATTTATTTTACAATAAGAAGCTGAAGCTTAAATTTTATTGCATGTTCTCCTCAAGATATAAATTTAGTACTATTCCGCAAACACATATCTTGGCAGTTTAAGGTGATTATTAATTTAGATGATAATTGAGCATAAGAATAGCGTTATTTATTTGTTGTGCGAAATATTAGGAATTTAATAATTAATTGTGAAGAGGGCTGGGATAGCCTGGTCGGTAGGGCATTGAACTCTTGTTCAAGAGGACCGGAGGACCAAAGAATCTAGGTGTATTAATTGGTGACTGGTGCACTTTAAATCTGTCAAGGTTACTGACTCCTCCAAGTTCCCATAACAAATCAATTCCACCAGTGGTACTGATCCAGGAGTGTAGCAGAAATGTGGGTCAGCTGTTCAAAGACGGTTATAAAATAAAATGAAATTAATTGTGAAGACACGAAATATCTTTAGTGGTAGACGGATCATGGGTTAGAGTCTCCTTGCCATCAGACTAACTGTGGAAGGTTTTCGTGGTTTTCCTCTCCATGTAACTCAAATGTAGGTTAGTTCCCTCAAAAAGTCTTCCACGGAGGCAAATTTCTCTCAATACTTGATCCAGCAATTCCTTTGTCTTCTAGATTGGGTTTAAAATCATAAGGCTAAGGAGTTGAACATTAGTAGTCGTAAACCCAAAATTGGGTAAGCTGTTCAACAACGGTTATAAAATTAATTGCGAAATATTAGGAATTTAATAAGTTGTTTTCAATCTTTTCTGCTGGATGTTTTAATTTTTGGGAAACAGTATTAAATTAACCTACTTAGCTTTACAAATTGCTAAATCATGTTACATAAATAAGGAAAGACTCCCGTGTGATGTTACAGAATCGTTAAAAGTTAAATTTTGATTCATATATGTTTGTTTTATTGTATTACAATATTAAATTTTGTTCTTTACTATGTTATTTAATAGTCTGTTATTAGTGTAACGATTAATAATTTGCTATTGTAATAACAATTTAATAATCATTAATATACAGACATAATTTTCTCATAAATAGCACTTGAAGACTATTCATAAGCTTGTAACAAGTTTTATAGTTGATAATGCTTTTCCCTTAATGATTTAAATCGATTTAATTATATTTTCATGGTTTTCTTTTAAATTATTTTAACATTTCCAAATTTCAGTACAATTTTAAATTAATTTCTGTGAAAAGGAAAATGTTTATTATTACTTTAAGGATGTTAACTTCTGTATTCTTAAATAAGGACATCCATAATTTGTTATCGTAACTCTTCTGAATATAACTTTTTTAATTGATAATATTGAAATTTTCTTTCTTTCGAAATTGTTAACTAATATGTTTTTATTACATCTTTTTAAAAAAATATTTAAATTCATAAATTTATTTACCCAATTGAAGTCTGTTAATATAAATTAAGTTTATTTTATTAGTTCTGTCCTTTTTATATTTTAAATTTTTTTCTTCGTATACAGGACTGTGGATTACAGCTAACAGATGAACCTGACAAACGGTGTTATCCATTAGATTGCCATCTCCTTTGCCAAGAATGTCATGTTCACCGTTTAGAAGTTATGAGCAATACAAGTCTCAGTGATGGCGGGATGACTAAAGTTATTTAATTATTAATATGTGACTGGAAAGTGAAATCTAAATGCTCTTATGTCCTTGTATATAGTCATTTGTAATCTTACGTATGTTTTTTTTTATCCTTTTTTTTCCAGTTTGGTAACAATCAAACTATATTCACATTACATTTATTATTTTATTTTTCATTTGTGAAATCAACAAACATTCCAATAACTTAATTTTTATGCTAAGCGTACTAATTGCAAATATTTTGCTTTATGCGTATTAAAATTATGAAATTGTTTAACCAAAATAAATATTTGATCCTTAGTCATCTAATGTCTGAGTTTTTTTGTTTTTGTTTTTTTTACTTCATATGATAGTTTAATACTTGTTTTTCTATTATATCCATTTTATCATGATTTTTTATTATTGCTGTAACTTATTTTGTAAAAATTAATATATTTGCATTATTAATTTTAAAAAAATTTTGAGATTAATCAGGATTCAAAACAACGAGAATAAAATTTTTATTTAGTTTTAACCATGAAAAATACTCTAAAAAAACTATCAATTGTTTGCAGTAATTATAAATCTATTATACATTTATTTGCCTAGACATTTTTGATAACTTAAAAAAATTCTTGATAATTTTTATTGGTGTTGTTAAATATAAGATAATTTTAGTTGATACATTGTGTAAAAACAAGCTCTCATGTGGCAAAAGTTTCACATAACTTTATCTGTGTTGATCATCAAAAGAGCTCTAAAATTAAAATTTATACACTTTTGTGCTACCATGAAATAAGGGAAATCAAATTCATTTCTAATGGGTTGGATTAAAGAAAGGATATTGTTTACTTAGAACTATAAATTTATCCATAAACTAGAGACATAAATCATCTAATCTTTTTTCCCTATAAATTAATTTTAACACTTATATGATATGATTCAGGATTAATTAGGTTTTGAGCATTTTGAAATCCACAAGAAAAATTGTGGTTTTCCTATTCAAAAACCTTCTGCTTATTGTTCAGTCCATAGTTAGGTTTTGTATGAATGTAATTCCATTTGATCAATTGAAAAATATTGAGAAATTAGTTTTAAACTATAATACAAAATTATTAATTTGTTATTTAAACCAGAGGTTCCTAATTTTTTCTGTTATGGAACCCTAAATGGTTAAAAAAAGAAAACTTAACGGAACCTTGACTTTAAAAAAACTCGTTAGCAGTTGGGAATATGCTGGAAAAAAAATTATTTGGAAATATTTATTGGAAAAATTAAATTTATTACTTGTTTTTATCAATAACAATCTTAAAATTAGGTTTTAAGTTAGGCAGTTTAATTCATTAGTGTGCAGCAGCTTTTTGTCTTGTAGTTTTTGCCATGTACGTAAATCAAATTAAATAAAATATGCTGAATTAAGTTGGGTTTATTTAAAATTATTTTGTCATTGAATAATTTCATAAATATTTCTAAAACATTTAAGTAAATAAGGGTGGCCTGTTAAAAGTCTTAAAAATAATTATTGGTTAAAATAAAAAGGACAGTATAGTTCATGAAACCCGTGTAAATTTTTCACAGAAGCCTAGAGTTCCACGGAACACCTTTTAGGAATTGCTGAATTAAACTATATTAAATATGAATTTCTATTGCTATATAGTTTTATATGAAAATTGCAATAACAACAAAGTTTCGATTAGGCATCTGATTTTTTAAATAGACATAGATAGTTAGTTAAATTATTTAGAAGAAGAATAAAAAAAGAAATCATCTTTTTACTCCAACTACAGAGTTTTATGCATATTATTTGAGTTTATGCATTTAAATTTTTTGTAAAGAGTTAACAGGTATGCTATATTTGAAGTGGTTTTTATCATTTAAGAATATTAATCATCTACATGTGGATCAGCTGTCTAGAGCTGTTTCTAGATCAATGGATATCAGGGGATTGGTTATTAATTTGAATGCATCAAATATCATTTAACATTGAAATGAAAGAGGAATTCTGAATGTTTCATTATTTTATTATCTAGATTTTGAAAATTAATTTTTCATGCTCATTAGTCTTGTATTCATTCCAAACTTTAAATTACTGGTTACTTTCAATCCAAAGATGATTCTTATCTATGTTATTCAATAAGAAAAAACAATATTTAATGGAGAAAAATACCGTCCAATTACAGTAAAGCACTTAATGTTGCAAAGTTAAAATCGTGTCTTAATGAAATTGATTTTGATGCCATGTGTAGCTATATTCCAAAATATAATTTCTCATTTGATTTGTTCATAAATTTTAAATAAATTGTCAATAAATCACACATTTTGTATATTTAATTATTTTGCATTTATTCAGTGTAACCTCTTTAATCTGAATACCTCTGTTGACACGGAAGTGCTTTTTTTTCTTTACAATGGTGGTCCTTCCCCCCCAAATTTGAATATTATACTGTCCTCAATTAGCTACACGAGGCTTTCAAAATAAGAACTTTTATTGAATAGGGAAAAATATTAAAAATATGTGTAAAATACCTACATTTTAAAAATGGTACTTTCCTGTTTGCTAGATACTAGTAAATTCAACTACTTCTTTTATTCCTTTTAAGCACCGAACAAAATAGTTGTCGTCCTAAAAAAAGTAAATAAATATATAAAACCTTTTTTATATATGGATAAAGAGTTACAATAATTGAATTTACTTGGGCATGATTAATGGAAAGGTAGCGAAAAATACTGCTAAAAAATATGTGTCAAAATTTTTTAAATTTTGCTGTGAGTTCCATTCTAAGAAATCAAAAAACTTTACACATTAGAAGGCACAACTTAGTGTTTAAATTATAGTGGATGTAATATTTACTAGAGAAGGTTAGACTAAAAGAATTAAGAATATTTGAGTGCTGAAAGTGGAGTTAATGGGCGAATTTTTATATTATCTTTCTGTTTCAATTCCAATCAAACATCTAACTTTCCTCAATAGTTATTTGAAAAATATTGATGTCAGTATTTTTTTCCTCACTTAATTAGTAACTCCTAATGTATGTAGTTTTTATTGCTTCATTTTTTGCTAAGATTCTGAAAATATTTATTAAAAGAGGTGATTGTGGAATACCCTGTATATAATTCATAAATATCCACACAAAAAAAGTAATGAAAAATTTATTTTCGATTTTTTTTTCATGTCTATTCTAATTTTAAATATTTCTTTTATTAAAGTATGAAAAACACTTTACATATTAAAACTATATTGTATAGATAAGTGATGTAATGACATTCCTTATAATTATTAAACTATTTTTCATTATTTATATTTGATTGTGACTAATGAATAGGTTTTGGTTGAGTGCTGGAAACCCAAACCAAAATTTATTGCAAAGATTGTATTGTAAATATTTATATGTGCTTAATTAGTGATAATTTTGTTAGAAACTTCTCTTTTTAATCAGTTAAAATTATTTAAACTTTTCTGTTCATTTAAACAAAAATTTTGTACAGGGTGGTAAAAGTTAAAGTGATTGTACTCAGAGAGTCATAGTTCCAGTTCTTCTATATTGTAATGTTATGTAGATGTAAAAGCAATGGTTTCTTTAAAAAAAATATCTTGAAATTTTGCCAACTGGTAGCGCTCGCTGTGAGGAAATAAGAAGAAAAACAACAGTTCAAAAATAACTGAATATCTAATTCTTTATCTATATAAATATGTGCGCAGAACTTGTCAGTTAACAATGTGTAGAAAGAATACTACTAGGTTAACATATATGTGTGTATGCATTACAGTTTTATTATAGTTATAGTGGTTAAGCACCCTCTACTGGCAAAGTTATAAACTATTCTTTCCAACAAAAGCGTCGAATTCGCATTCTACACAGAACAGATTTGAATTTTTATTCAAATCACTTTAGTAGAACTAAAAATGTGTGTACCATCAGTTTAATTTTGAAAACCCTGTTCCTTCAAAACTTCTTGTGAGAACTTATTGGCGCATTTTAGAATCTATAGAATAATATTTAATTTCTTTTTATAATAATACTTTATTTATCATCAAAATTTTAAAATAGATATATATTTCTGAAATAAAGTATTTGTGATGAAATATTGTAATTGTTATTAATTTGAATAAAATCTCTTTCTATAAACTAATGTGGTTATTTTTTCAAGTTGATTTCTCAATTATTTTTTAAAAACATGAAAAGGATTTTGTGATTTTTTTTAGATTCATAGTAGCACATTTTTTATCATGAGAAAATCCGCCATGATTGTTTATGGCTGGCAAATTTTATTAGTGAAACCTCTAGGAAAGGCCACCACCTCTATTTACGACCCTTTTGGGAAGCACGGAACTTTTTTCCATAGATTTTGCATTGTAGAAAACCTTTAGGAGAAATCATTAAAACCTCTCCCAGCGACCGGGGAAACATCTACACGAAATGCGGAAAAGGTCAAATAAGTAGATTAAAATTTATTCTAATTATTTGTATGAGCCTCTTATTTAGAGAGTTCCTTTTGGCGATGCAACCTCATGTTGCAATCTGAGTGCACTAAAGATGACGCTATCAATAATTTACTTTTAGAGCTGAAAGTTAAATTAGGAAGAAAAAAAAAGGTATTTTAGAGAAAAAAAGCATTCCAAACAAACCTCTTATCTTTTAAAGCTTACTGATTTTTATGACATAAAATTAAAAGCAAACGTAAACAAAAAACATAATTATTTATTTATTTAAAATAGCTTTATCATTCATAATTGGTAAATTAGTTTTTGAATCATATATAAATAATATAAAGTAATTTATGTGCAATGAGGTCTACTTTAGTACTATCTCTTGAGCTTTTCGATATTCGGTAAGAAATTTTACCTTATTACTAATGTTGAACAGAAAATTTTTAGTGGTAGATGATAGCGGTTTTTCTGTCTTTAAGGCTGCTCTATCGTATTATGAAATGTTGCTTTTTTGCTAATAATATGCTATTTTTATAACTGCTGTGAGTTTGCAACTGTTACTCAGGACTGTTAGGTTAAGTTTAGCTGATCTAAAGCCAGTGCTGTCTACACTTTGTTTGAAAACGGCACAAAACGTCGATATGGAGAAAAACCACAGTTTTGAAAAAAGAAAAGAGTTTGTGGTCTAATTTTTTAACATTTAAAAACTCATTCCAATGCTGCATTGCATCACCGGGGCTCATAAAAAATTTGTCTGTATTATCAACGACAAAATTTGTTTGCACTTTCAATTTCAGTCTTAAATGCTGTGAGATACTATCAATTAATTAAAATTCAATAAGAAACTAGCATTTAATATCTTAAAGAGATTCAAAATGATTTTAAATTTTCATGTAACTATGAATAAATTTAAGTCAAATTATTGCATAGAAAGAAAGTATGCAACTAACACGTTGATGTAGTAAGTAACAATGAATTTTAATATTTCCAACTTCATTAAAATAATTTGCAATTTGATTGTAAATAAGAAATCAAGGACGAACTATAAAAATGAACGAAACGTTTGAAAATGAAATTTTTTTACTCCTTTGAGCGACTTAAATTAAGTCATTAATTTTTTTTCTCTATAAGTTTATACAAACAATAGGAAAAATATTTGAATACAAATAGAGTGAGATGGAATGCTATTATAGAAGTCCTATGCTCTTGATTCGGAGTAAAGAGGAATGTGTGCATGTATGTTATACAAATTAGTTGCAATTTTATTGTGCTAAAATAAATAATCGAATTGAACTCTCTCTTTTTTTTAATTTTATTCAATCAATACTTAGTATTTATTTAATAATTTGCCTTGAAAAGCTAGAGATAGATATGTATTTGAACTTAAAAAAAATAAAATGCATTAATTTTTTTAATCGTTTAATTGCTGTTGAAATGGATTGTAGAATTCCAGAAAAAGGAACTAAGCTAAGAAAAAAGACCTTTTTTTTTGTACTTTGACGTAGAGCACATTTTTCAAAGAGCAGCAAGCTTATCCGAAGCATAAACGAGTTCACAATGCATTCAAGATGTTACTGGTAATTACTTCTTATCAAGCACGTAGGTATTACTTTTCCATGAGGATTATTCAGAATTTCAAAATTGATTCATTAAAGTGAGGTTAAACTTAAAATTGTGGTCTAATACTTATTCTTCATCGGTATTTGAATAGATATAAGTTGTGTTAAAATATTTAAAACTTAAAAATTTATTAATAAATTTAAAATTAAATTTCATTTTCAACTTGCAACAGAAAATTTATTAAAGTTGGAAGAAAATACTAAGAAAACGATTTTCTTATTCTGTATCTCTTCAATACATGGCACTGCAATGAAAAAAACTTCCAAGTATTTTTTAACAACTGTTTAGTAAGAATCTTGCATATCAATTGGTTCCTAAAAATTTTTTATGCAAATATCCTTAGAAAAGCAAACCAGAAACCGATTGTTCTGAAAATTAAGAAACGTAAATGGAAATAAATTTGCCATGTTCTACGTAAACCTAAAAAAGTTTATAATTGTAACCCTCATGGCAATAGAAAAAGAGGAATACCTAAAAATACTTGTCGCAAGACGATTGAAAACAAAAGGAAAGACATGGAGAGAGGCAAAGTATTTGGCCACAAATAAAGTGAGATGGAAAGCTATGATAGAAACCCTATGGTAGAGTTTTTCCACTGAATTGAATGAGACGAATCCCGAAAAAATCCAACTATTAGTTTGAAGTTATAAGACTTTTATGTATAAAAAAGTACAAATTTGTATTTGTGCCTATTTGCGCATCAGATATTGCTATTTAAACAAGTAAGACATTGCGGTAAATTTAATGAGACTATACACAAGTCAAAAGAACAAAAGTTGCAGAAGCTTTTGTGCATAGTGCATAATCAATACTATTTTTTTACGACACGAACATATGTATACAATTCACATAGATAACCAGGAACTATCTGAACACGTAATGTAAATTTTCCTAGCTAATTTGTATGAGACCGATCCCGAAGCGATCGGACTAATGGTTGAGAAGTTATAAGCGTTCTATACGTACAAAAAATATAAATCTGTACATGTATGCATCTTACATTGTTATACAGACAATTGAAGTATTGTTTCATACGTATATTTTCCCGTACAATCGAATGAGACAAAAAACGATGCTTCAAAAATTGAAATATTTTCTTTTATTATGAATTACACTTATTATGAAGAAAACCTTGTAACTTCAAAACTAACTCCAATTTTATCTCACTCAATTCTGAAAAAGAAATTGGAAAATGTCCCTTATTTATTCAGATAATCTTCAGATAGAAAATTAAAAAGTTTATAAAACAATGATAAAAACAGCACTTTTATGCACAAAACCGCTTATCACTTATAAACAATTCATTCTATTATCTCGTATATAAGTCATTCAGCATAAAATAAATACATAAAAACAATGTTCCGCTTATTTAGAAAGCAATACCAGATGCGTTAATAGGAACAAGTTTAAATTTGTACTTTTTGTACATAAGTCAATAGTTTCTGGACTATGAGTTCTATTATTTCGGGATTGTTATGATTAAAATCAATGTGAAAAAAATTTACAAGAAAACTTTGCCTGTTTAAAATGCATGAATGCAAAACAGGACTAAGGGTAATCAAACTTTAGATTTTTGGAAGGATTTCACGAGGAAGTGATTTTCAAGATATGCAGTCTTGAGAGACAGTTATTTACACAGATTTATACAGTTAATACATTTTTAAGATTTCTGACAGTTATAACAAAAGAGGTATTTATGAGGTTTAAAAAAATTACTTTATTTCAACTAAAGAGAGTCAGGTATTCATTGAGGTGTATGAGATTTTATTTATATCTAAGCTTATTTTGAGGTTGTTTAAAGTGCACTTCATATTAATTAGCTCTCTTCCCAGAGTTCCGTGCGACCCGTCGAATGAGGAGTGTGTTCACATTCAAAAATCTATGCGAAATTCGGTGTGTTTGACAATTATTGATTTTGTTTTATAATTTTTTTTTTATCTAATATGTTTCTATTTTCAAACTTAAATTTTATTATTTTAGTTTTAAAGAATCGTCCTGATCTTAAGTAATTAAAGTCGGAGGATATTTTTGGAAGCTATTGTTGAAGGCTTAGCAATGAGAGAAAAAAAATCGGAATATTTCTCATCGCTCTTTAGGGTAACGCTACTGGTGAATCGTTGCAACAGGTTAAGCACAGTATATTTTATTGTTTGCTATTTATTCAAATGTAACTGTTTTTTCTTTTTTAAATATTTTATTTTGCTTGAATGTAGCAGTATACAAGCTGATTAATTGAACAAAATGTTCATAATTTCTCTTATAAATAAATCATTGAAAATTGAAAGATTTTAAAATAACATTTTTCCTTTGAAATTCTACTACAACTGCATGCTGATTGTTTGCTTGGATATCTGAATATATATGCTAAGTTTACNTTATTTTGCTTGAATGCAGCAGTATACAAGCTGATTAATTGAATAAAATGCTCATAATTTCTCTTATAAATAAATCATTGAAAAATTTTAAAATAACATTTTTCCTTTGAAATTCTACTACAACTGTATGCTGATTGTTTGCTTGGATATCTGAATATATATGCTAAGTTAACTGTTGTTTATGAGTGAAAATATGCATAATTACACTGCATTTTACTTTTTTGTAATATATATATGAGTTTATCCACTAGTAGTTCCCTGATAATGCTGAGATGACCTAGCCTGGACTGTATATATAAAACATGTCCAAGCAACTGCTCAGCTTTACTCTGGGAAATAGTTCAGAATTTATATTAAAAGGAGAAAGTAATCTCACATTATAAACTACTAAATTTATGTAATTGTTGATCGCAATAGTTTGCATGATATTTGAAAACTAATAACTGTACTACTAGCTCACCTTTTCATGCGAAAAAAAATCGCATATGCGAGCGTGAACCGGATAGGCGAATTTTGCCAATCAGATTTTCGGTTGCACGCATGAAAGCTCCTTGAAGCATCAAAATAAATTAGGTGGAAATAGTACCATGTAAGCTGTAAACTTTATCAGAAGCATTTAATAAATTAGTTTAAGAATTGCTTTGAATTCTTTTGGCAACACAATTGTTATAGTGCCCTTCAAAACAAAACCTTGGAATTTGCTAGAATTTAACATTTGAGAAATAAAACTTGATATAAAAATGGCCTTTCGTGGCTTTGTTCAAAAATACATAGCTACTCCAGGAGTGAAGAAATGGTTTTTTAATAAAGCTGGTTACCAGAAATATGGCTTATTTCGTGATGATTGTATCTATGAAACGCCAGTGGTGAAAGAAGCAATACGTCGACTACCTCAGGATGTTATAGATGCAAGAGTCTATCGCATTCAGCGGGCATTTCAATTGACCATTCAGCATGACATTTTACCGAAAGACCAGTGGACGAAGTTTGAAGAGGATCAGAACAACCATTATCTTCAACCTTATATCGATGAAGTTCAACGTGAGTTAGATGAACGCAGGAAATGGGTTAAAGCACACTGAACTTAAGATAATAATATTTTCAAAATATATCTTATAGATATTCTGTCATTGTTTCTTTATAAAATTGGTTGTCAAATTCTTAGGTATTTCTAAATATGAATAAAATATTATAGCGAATGATATTGTATATTTCTGTAGTATTGAAATGATTAACAAAAAATGATAAACCGTATGAAAAAATAAATTAACGTTTTCATCGCCTGAAATTATATGTTTACTAGGTAGTACCTATGCTAAAGAAATTGCCAACATCCATGTGAGCAACTAAAAAAAAAACCTCCAAAAAGAGAAAAATTTCTTAACTGGCATTGCATATTTTTAAAATTATTTGGGGATATTTCCATGTTGTGCCAACTAGATTTTAAGCTTGTAAATTTAAAAACAAGACATGTAGATGTTTGCCCGTGGGTGATTATGAGTTAGTCCCTATCAGTGATGTTTTTTTAGTTCCCCGTGGGTCGCTGCCCGAAAGTTGCTGGGGCTTGGTGATTATTCTGCTACGGATCACGATAAGGAAATCTCTCCAATTATTTGCTAGTTTAACAACCCTTCAGCTTTTCTTTTGATTGATTCTAATATGATTGCCTCTTGAATTTTTGTGCCTTTTTTAACTGTATTTTTTGATATACATATATGCATTTCAGTTTTTTACTTGTTGAATCAAGCAAAGCAGGTTATACACTGTTAAGATGCATTTAGGCAAGGTTTTAAAAAAATTATTTTAGAAATATTTTAAATTTTTATTCCTAAGTTTGCTTATAATATGAAAGTTAATGTCAATAACTATTTATCACTTGCTTTGTTGTAATGTAACCATTTTTTGTTAAGTGATATACTGTTTTTAATAGGTTTTCATAAATTTTATAGGATTACTTTATATATTCAAAAAAATCCACCTTTAGTGAAAAATCTTTAATTTGGAATAATAATAGAAATCAAGTCATAATAATAGTACAGAATAACATTAAGAAGGGATGATAAATAAGTAAAAAATTACTAAATATTATTTTGGATGAATAAACTTTTCAATGATTTTACACTAAAAATTTCTTTAGTCGTACATATTTTATTTTTAATGTGAAAAAAATTCTCAATTTCAGCATTTAACTGGACAGTAAAAAAAAGTTTTTAAAACCTATTTAATTTTAATGCTATCATAAAAAATTGAATACTAATTAGTGTCATAGAAATGATTAAGATATAAAAAAGCAGTTTTTATGCTTTATAATAATATATAAACTTAATTTATAAATTATATCTTACAGTTTGAATAAGATAATTAAAAACTTTTTTTAAGCCATATAAATAATTTTATTTCTCAAACTGATAGCTTTTCATAAATTAATTTTAGTTATAAAGGTAAATCAATACAAACTGTTTAGACCAGCAGTACGCAAAAGGTGCTCCGCGAGCGTTTTGCAGACTCAGACAAAATGAAAAATTTTCTGAGAACTCATATTCAGGACTTAGCATGAGTCATTTTTCTCGCTTAATGTCATTATTTTAAAAATAGTAATTTTATTCATTATTTGTTAGGTTTAGACACTTATCTTGCCTTTATTTATTTGTGTTTCACAAATTTTCACACCTTCTTCTCAATTAATAGAAAGATTTCACATGTCCCTCTTCATTGAATCCATGACTTCACAGTCTACCTATGGCAGTGTTGTAAGACTTACCCAATTGTGCGACGTGTAAAAGAAGATTAATTTGGTGTCATAAAAGTTAAGCATTCTTAAGTTTACTAAGTTAGTATTAAGTGCTGAAACGTCTTTACTTTTTTTTTTCAAAATAAAAACTGTAAATAGACTTTTTACTTTTATATTGTTATTTTTTTAGAAATAGGATCTTACTATGCCACGTGAATTTGAGTAATATAATTTTGACACATAATTTCACATCATTGGATGTTTTTCATTATTTTTGACGTCATTAATTATTTAGATTTTTTTGGCCCTTTCTATGTGGTTTTTCTAATTGTGCTGTTTTGTATATGATGTTACGGCACTCAAATTTGAGTTGTCATCTTTGATTTCATCGTAAATCTACTTCGTTTTACGAGCATTTTGTCAGTCATTTTCATATGGTTTTTTAAAATTTCATTATTAATTTATACAAACAATGTTATAACGTCACATGGATTTCAGTAACAATACTATTTGTTAACGATTTATTCAAAAATCCATTCCCCCTCTGTGTTTAGCCTGTATGCACATGCAAATGTTTAAAAACTACATGTGAGGAACTACTTGCATGGCGTGCAGTAAGTGCTCCATGATTTTTCAATTTTGGTTTTCTTTTGATTCACATCGTTGAATGAAAGTTTTTTTTTTTAAAAATTATTTTTCACTTTTTTGGTCCTTTCTACTATGGTTTTTTACATTCCAATATTTTTATAAAATGTTACATGCTTTTTTTCATTTTTGAGCTAGCATTTTTTGACACACTTGATTCCATTATAAATCCATGTCCTCTTCCAATTGTTTTTTATCTATTTCATTTGATATTAATACAATGTTATATTTTAAATTAATATGATGTTCTAATACTAAACGAATTTCCGGTTTCAGTAATGACTATTTGTTGATTTATTTAAAAATCACTTTTTCTCCCTATTGTTTTTTTTTAACCCCTTTTCCATTTCTTCTTTTTTGTTTCAATATTTTCTATCCTATATTATATATATTATCCTATATTGATATTTTCTATCCTATATTTTTACAGCATGCTAATTTCAAATTTAACCCCTTTAGAACAGTGATCACACAATTCTTTCTCGGCAGATGGTATCCATACAGGAAAATAGACTTCTACTTCTGCGACTATAACAACTCAAAATCATATGGGCGTGATCTCCTTAGGGTATTCTCGTTTTAGTACGTATCTTGAGAATGGTTTTTCTCCTCAGGTGATGAAGGGGTTAATTATGGCAGTATCGTTTTTGAGGCATTTTTTTCGATGATTCCACTGTAAATGAACGTTTCTTGTTATTTTTTAGTATTAATTTTTCGGCTAGTTTTTTGAATTTTGACACTTTTATCACAATATTATTTCAAAATTTTAGTAATTAAGTTTAGCCGCACTTGTTTCACAGCAATTCCATTGTAAAACTAAGATGTTTTTCCCCTAGTTTTTTTCTTTGCAATAATAAATTATTTTAAGACTCCTGAAAAAAGCTAAAACAAATGATCACAATTAATAATTGGGATCATTTAATGTATTGACTTTACATGATAGTAACAATATTTTTGTTGTATACTTTTACTGCTATTTTAATATAATATTTTAAGCTGTAGTAGCTGAAGTTAAACACGTAAAATTTTTTAATTAGGAAAAATAATAGAATATTTATTTTTTTTAGTTATAGTTAATTAAAATGTAATTTAAGTTTATATTTGATTTCAACAGCAAGTAAAGTTTCTAAACCAATATATATTTAAGGTAATTAAGATGTTAATGTCTTTACCTAAGTCACTATTTATCACTCATTAAACTATAGTCATATAGTCACTTTTTTCATTACTTTTCTACAATGACTCGAGCTGAGTTCTGCAAATTTCAATTTAAAAACTTTCTACAAGCAATGTATTTCATTAATTCTCTTAATTAGTTTCAACCTTTTCGTTACTTAGATAATTTTGACAAAATTTGTTTGAAAATCTCTAATTTTTTTCTTGGTGTTTTAATTATTATAAAACTACATTGATGCCATACTATATATACATGTCAGCATATTTTTCTCTTAATTTTGACAGTTTTTTATTAGATGTAGTAGTATAATTTACGTACCAAATTTTCTATTTCCTATTTTTCTAAAATTGATTTTCAATATAAAATGAGTCACGTTACAAAAAATTTTCATGATGGTGACACATTTTCTGCGAATGACATTTGTGTATACTTGGCCCTAAAAAGCCTGTGAGTTAGGACCTTTTTTTAAATTTTTTTTTTATTAAACCTGTACTGAACTTTGGAACCAGTAATAAATTTTTATTCAACAAATAATCAAATATATTTTTTAAAAAATGAGGCAGTTTGAGTGAAATTTTATAAAAAATAGCAAATTTTACAATATAATTTTTTTTTTCTTCAAATAACAATATATTGAATAAACTATATGCATTTATGAATTGTATCAGTATTTCTAATCAAACTTTAAAATTCAAAACAAAATAACCGAATTCAAGAATAATGAGTTATTTTTCTCGAATTACCATTCTCAAATTTTATATCGGTTCTTATTTTAAAACATGGAAAATTATGCATAACGACATGGTTAAATATTATTGAAGCCCTTAGGGATTGAAACATATTAAAAAAATTTATAAACAATAATTGAATTTTTTGCAAATTTAAGTTATAAAATAAGTTTAAAATTAATACTAATTTGATGTATAACAGAACAGCTGCCCAACTTACCTTTACAGTAAATTTTTTTCGCCCCGTTTTTAGTCGCATATGAGTTTATTAGAATAAAATGAATGAATTTTTTTTTTGTTTAATTTTGGTGAGTAAAAATGATTCACAAACTGTTGACAGAAGCTTTTCAAGTAAAAAATATTAATGACTACAGCGTACAATGATTAATATTTTGCATTGGTGCGATTTTTTGCATCAGTCATTATTTTTTGGGCTGTGAAGGTGCCGACGAATGTATAATATAAATTTGCTTTTAAATTTTATTTTATTGAAACTTAATCTGTGTTTTAATATTTTCATGTTCGGAAATTTTACGCAGAAACCATGTCATGTCACTGGCTATTATTTTGTAATTGAATGTGGAAGTAAAGTAAAACATTCTATAAGATGCGCAAAACTTGCGCAATACATTATATCACCCTGTGTTTCAGAAAATGAAATGGGTAAGGCAAGTGTTTGTCAATGGTCAGCAACGATAATGCATGACAAGACGTCTTAAGATAAAGTCCTCAAAGATTGAAGAGTGTTTATCACAAATAGCTCTTAATTTAGTAATTTCACCCTGCTAATTTTTTTTATTTCTTATTTATTCATTTGAAAATTAATACTAGTAATACATTGCAAACTGGTTAATTTTACTCTTAACTTGTTGAGCAATGTGCTACATAACAATAAAGTTGTAACTTGCAAAATGCAATTTATTTGTAATGCAATTAATTTTTAATGCATCACAAATTAATTTATAACACAATTCTGATATTATAAGACCTTAATGGTGTCATTTGCTTTCAGAAAGTTAGGAAGATGAGTGACTCAAAAATTATTAAAAAATTCTTTAATTAATGAAATTTTTGAATTTGTTTTATTGGTAATGACAAATGAGATACTAGAGAAAATATAGGTATTAAAAACAAAAATGACTCTCTGTAAAATATTTACATTGAAAAAGAAATAGATATTTTAGCTTGTTACTAATTGTTTATAACTGCCATAAAATATATAAAACATTTGGCGCAAAACAATTTCAACTTTTTTTTTTTCTGCTTGCAAGAGCTATATTCTTGTCTATCAATTTTTTGTTCAGTTGGAAAAATAATTTTTTTAAATTCAGAATGACTTATTTGGGAATTCAAAACTACCTTGCAAACCTAAATAACTTTGTCTTTTTAAGCTTGTAAATTATTTTTTGCATATTAAAAAAAAAGTAAATATATTGTTTTTTACTCCAACAAAACACATTACATGCATTGCTTTTAAATTACGGCAAATAATGTTAATTGAATAATTTATTTTTTAAAACAAAAAAATTGCACTCTATGTAGAAATTCAAAAAATAATGAATTTTTTGCTGCCAAGTAAGATTTATTATTATTTTTTCATAGAATGGTTTTGTGTGATACTTTACTGTTTTTTTTCCTCAAAAATTTTTTTATAAAAGATAAAATTCCATACAATTATAAAATTCAATGAAAACTTGTTCAAGTGTAAATCATATATAAATAGGGAAAGCTAATAAGGTTAAAATCGGACAAAATGAGAATAAAAATTGACTGATGCTGTACATATTTTGTAAACTTTTATTTTAAAAAAGCATTAGTTTCTAAATTAACAATTAGATATGTTATAAATCTGAAAAGTTAAATTTTTTCATTCCATTCATTCTGAGGAATCATGATTATGCTAAGTAGTTCTTCTCTAACTAAGCCGTCAAAAAGAAGTAAAAAATATAGAAAATAAAGTTTTAAAATAAGAACAGATTAAAGTAAGAATACAAAAAAAGTTTAAAATGCTGATTTAATTTTTGCTAGCCCTATTTATTTTAGATTGCAGTGTTAGATTATTTAGACTTTTTAATAAATTATATTATTAAAAACAAAGCAACACTTATGAACTGATATGTTTATTAATGGTATAAATATTTCAATATAGGATATAAGTAATTTATAATACAAAGCACTGATTTTAAAAAACAACTATCATATCAGAAGTTTGTTTGGCAATTATTCCATGGACTCTGAATCTGTAAAGGCAGGTATATTCTGAATTTCCATGATTTGAGAGAATCCTTAACTCCACAAATTTGAATGGCTGATTAAATTCATTCTAAAATGAATGATATCAACAATAAAAACATCTGAATATAGGTAAAAAAATAATTTCAATATGCTTATATTAATTATAAACTAGATGTCACAAAAATTACTGAGAGGGGGGAAAAAGGAAGGGGGCACATACAGGGTGTGCTGCATTCTGCTTATTAAACAAGAAATTTATTCCTGCTAAGTTTATTTGTATATCCCTCAGTAAATTTTCACCTCAGATTGCAGCAAGTTGTTACTGCAGTTAGTAGCTATTTCAAAAATTTTTTCTNTTTGGCAATTATTCCATGGACTCTGAATCTGTAAAGGCAGGTATATTCTGAATTTCCATGATTTGAGAGAATCCGTAACTCCACAAATTTGAATGGCTGATTAAATTTATTCTAAAATGAATGATATCAACAATAAAAACATTTGAATATAGGTAAAAAAATAATTTCAATATGCTTATATTAATTATAAACTAATGTCACAAAAATTACTGAGAGTGGGGAAAAAGGAAGGGGACACATACAGGGTGTGCTGCATTCTGTTTATTAAACAAGAAATTTATTCCTGCTAAGTTTATTTGTATATCCTTCAGTAAATTTTCACCTCAGATTGCAGCAAGTTGTTACTGCAGTTAGTAGCTACTTCAAAAATTTTTTCTTTTACAATTTCACTTAACAGTGCAATCTGTTGAATTTTTTGAGTGATTTTGAAACTTATTTAACAATAAGTTTTTAGGTTTTTTAAGCAAACTGTAGATTTATATTTTTTTACTTTTTTTAAAACATAATTTTCTAACTGTAGGTCATTTTTGAAACATTCAATATGTTAAGTAATAGTCATGAAATTATAAATTTTGCAAAAGGAACAAATTAATAAAAATTTGATTTTTAGCAAAAATCATAATTTTATGTACCAAGTTAAAACAGAAAAATGTAATGCCTTTTTATCTTATTCAAAAACTAATCTCCTAAAAGAGAGAACTGAAGGTAAAGAATTAGAAGACAATGGACTAAATAATCTTCTAAAGAAAGCCAAGGCCCACCATGGGCAGAATAATTATGAAATGAAAAACATTAATATTAACAGTATATTATGGAGAACTTAAGTTTAATAGAACCCCTGATGGAATGGGCATTATTGTACTAATATCAATGAATGTTTTATGCTCAGTACAACATTAATTTGCTTGGTACATTAAGAGAGTTTGACAAACAGCATTATATTTAGTTCAGTCAGAGAGACAGAACAGAATCGTGATACACATGTTTACCTGAGAAGATATACCTCTCTGAAAAATTATATTTTTTAAAAGATAAAATTTATAATTTCAGTCAAATGTAACAAAGTATATTACTGTTTTTAGTATAATCATTAACCAATCAATATTATCTTTGAACAATAAATTAATAATTAAAACATTAATAATTCATAGTTAAAGTGAAAGTTAAATATCTTTTAAATAATTTGAAAAAGACATTTTTTTTAGTACACTTTCCTCTAACTTGGGTAAAAAAAGAAAAGCGTTCAGGAATATTTTAAAATTAAATTTAAAAATAAATTATAACTATTAAGACATTAAAAGTAACGTTAAATTTTATATAAAATTAATCGAATGTAACAATTTCATGAATTATAAAAATCATCTTTGTTTTAAATACCGAATTCATTTTAAGTACACTTCTAACTTACCTGAACAGGAAAATATTGCACCGGATATCCTTTCAAATTATATGAATATATCCCAAAAGCTTTTCCTTGATCATCACTATCAGACGACAAACCCTAAAATGAAAATGTTAAAAAACTCATCACTCAGAAATTAAAATTTTCAAAAATAAATCTAATAATTAAATCATACAGTCATAGTAAAATCACGATCATATGTTACCCTTCAAGCCAGTGGTAGTTTGGGAAAACAAAATCTTTGGCGGACCTTTTCAAATGTATTTTTTAAGAGTGTAACCATTAAATATGAATAAAGTTACACAAAATACATACATCAAGAATAGTTAAAAATCAAAAACAAAATTTAAAACTTCATTTTTAAGCAAAATTTGAATCTTTTTTCCTAGAAAAATATATCCCCTTTAGCAAAATGACTTTTATTTAATCAGTACTTATCAATTGACTGGATGTCAGAGAAAAATTCTAGCAAAATATGATTCCTAAGTTTTAGACATATCAAAAAGAAGGGTAGTTAAAAGTACCCTTCTTTTTGATACTAATTATTTGAAACATTTTAGTTAATTTAGAGTAATAAAATGTAACACAATAAAATATAACTTGCTGATGCATTGAGGACAAATGTAAGATATTAAAAAAAAAAAAAAAAAAAAAAAAAAAAAAAAAAAAAAAAAAAAAAAAAAAA